AAGGTTCGCAGCGCACCACGGGGCCCAAGCCCGCCGCGCCCGCATTGGCCCGCGCTGCGGGCAGCTTTCCGAGCAGCGCCAGCGCGGTCAGCGTGGCGACCAAGAGCACCGGGCTTGTCCGCTGCATGGTGCCCACTGCGGGGGTCCGCTACTCAGCCGGTCGGGGCGCGAGGGGACGGGGTGATGGCGTGCAGAGCGCGGCGCGAAGCTGCGAGAGGGGAGCAGGGAGCGGAGTAAGCGGCGGTCAGACCTCAACGTCGCACCGCCAGGCTCGCATCTGGGCGTCCCGGGCACGCCAGCCGCTATATAGAAGTCGGAGCGGCCGAGGACACGCCCCGGAACCGCGCGCCGCGGGTGGGGGGAGTCGAGGGCGGGAAGGCGCAGACGAGGCTCCGGGGTCCTGTATATCGCCCGGGGTGCGCTGCGCACGGCCGCCCGAGCACCTGCTCCACGCGTGCACGCCCGGCGCCCCGACACCACGCGGTCCCCAGAAACCCAGCGCTCCCGTCACCCACCAACCCTGGTGCCTCCGGTCACCCTAGCGTCCCCGCCCACCCCCGGCCAACCTGGAGTCTCCGCACGCAGCCCTTCCCAGTGAGGGAAACTGGCGTGCGCCGCTCCTTACCCTGTGTACTTCGCAAAACTTTCCAAAATTCAAGTCCTGGGGTCGGGGAATTCGTGGGACATTTCTGAACGAGCATACTCGATCCCCGTCGGGTCTCGGGGAGCCGAAGTCGGGGTTTTATTTGCACCCACTGGGCCACTCGCACCCCCCCCACCCATCTGGCCCCACAAATGTGCATCTGCAGGCGCGCACGTGGCCTTTGCCCTTTCCAGGATCACTTTTCAAAGCGGCAAAGGCTCACACTTCTCTCTCCCCTCAAGTCCCTAGTGGGCAAAGTCGGCCAGCGTGGAATGGGTCCTGACAGGGCTTGTCAAAGATCTGACCTGTTTTAGGTATTTTCCCTGACGTTTTCAGGCAGAGCTTCTGTCCACAACAAAAGAATAAAAAAAGCAACGCGGCTCTGGTGCAATGTGGTTAATAGCAAATGGTCCTTAAAGTGGCGATTTTCACTCTCATTTTCCGTGGCCACCGGTATCTCTGCACTGAGTTCTCCCAGTGCACTGAAGGGGAGACTTTCGGGTTCTCCAATTCCGTGCAACCTAAACCCTGCACTAGGGTGCAAGTCCCGGGCGCTCGCCCCTGAGACCCGGTGACTTTCTGCCTGCTCCTTGCGGCTCTTTTCAGTGCTGTCTGCTCGCCCCTTCTCCAGGTGACCGACAGGGGACGCTGGTGGTCCAGGGTCAAATGGGGAATTACATTTTCCAAGGCTCTTACCAAGAGCTTGTGGATCAGCCCCGGGAACCCGCGAGACCCCAGGGAACAGACTTCCCCGCATGCTGTTGAAATTGGACACTTGCCCTGGAGGGTGCATAGGCGTCTTGGAGGAGCCTTCTGCATTTTGCCGCAGCAGCAGCAAATCACGGCTCCCTGCCTTCCCCCCTCCACCCGGGGAGCCCACTAGCAGCCTGGTGACGCTAACATTCATCCCCGTCGCTGCGTCTCCTCCGCGGGTATGTCTGCATACACCGCCCCTTTGTAGAACGGGAAGAACAGTGTTCTCCCAGCAAACAACGCGTAAAATAGTCATAATCGAGGCTCCACAAAGGGGAAGGCACAGAAGACAGTGGGGGCCGCGCCCCAGCCA